TCGAACTTAAGGAACCAATGTTATTATTGGCTAGAATCTAGATGACGTACATCTCTTTAGCCGTTACTCAAACTCTACGGCTGTGGGCTACCATAGTAATAAAATATTATTGTTTAGTACCGTACTGAAAACTGTTGTTCCAATAATATTATATTGCTCTTACAGCACAGAAAAGATAAAACTGCATGATCCATTAATGAAACTATGCAGAAATGGGTTAAAAACATGATGTAACATTTAAAATGACAACGATAAAAAAAATAGTAATAATATTAATAAAAAAAAGAAGTGTATAAGAAGCTGGTGTGCTGTACTCACCCAGACTTGAGTCTCTCGTCGAAGCCATCATCGGAATCACTGATACTAAGACTCCTTTTCATGGTGGGTGCAGGCTGACCTTAGCCCGGGTACAGTGCACACAAATGCCGGACGACGTCACGGAAGGAAGGAAGGAGCGAGCGCGGGTCTCAGAGGAACTTGGGGGATGAAGAAAGTGGCACAAGGGCAGCACTTGTGTGAGCAGACGTCTATCGTGTGCAGGAGTGCACGTCACACGCGCAGGTCGAGATGTCAGACACGAGCGAGCGGACAGCCGGAGCAGTCTTTTGGTCACTAGAAACAGCTCGTCACTACTAGTCACAACTCACGGGACCGGATACCGGGGTTTTTCCTGACCAACGTTCGAGCTTGGAGTGAGCACACGACCGGCCCGAGCTGCCAAATAAAACCTCCGCCGCTCCGGGCCACGGCGCCGCCCCTCGGCAAACGTCGACGCCTGATTGGCGCACGGCCCGTCGCGTGCGGGACCGCCGTCGATCGATAAAGCCCCGTGATTGGCTCGTGAACACAGCGCCGTGCCAGCGCAGATGTTTCTTAAGGTAGATGGGGAGGGGCGGGGTGGGGGAAGCGGGGTGTCAGACACGTGCCACGCTTACCGCTACTTTCGAATTCAATGACGCGATGCGTTCTTTAAAAATTCAGAACAATAGAGGCGCGGAGCTGACATCAGTAACGGGAAACAATAATATTCTAACTTATCTAACCACCCTCTACCCCCAACCCCCCTTAAGTTTAAGGAGCGTGCGCCTGTTTCTTTTTTGTTTGTATGTTGTTGTTTTTTCTTTACTACCCGTTCTAGGAATCATGTTTGTTGGAAAGAGGTGCTGGGGGG